TATGTATTCATATACATTCATTTATGTATAATAATTATACACTCATTTATAAATTCTATACATATAAAAATATAAATATTCCTTCAAAAAAAATATAAATATACACTATATAAATTACCATTGTAATCCCTCCGTCTCATTTTACCTGTCTTACTTTCCTTTTTAATGTGTCCTAAAATAGTGTCATCTTTCTAAAATTGAACATAACTATCACTCTATATTTTCCAATTTACCTTTTTGACTTTTCAAATTTCTAGAGATAAGTACAGTTGTACTTTGTACAAATAACACATGCTTTTGAAGAGCAAAATTGAAAAGCTAGTGACATTTGTTATGTTGTATTAAAAACTGTGCAAAAAACAAATGAGACAATCAATTAGGGGCGAAGAGAATATAAAATTGGATAATGTTAAAACTGTAAGTACTTCCTACCCACATCCGTCTCTCTTTCCATAAAATGGAAAATTTTGTCTTATTATTTTTCCTTTAAGGGTGTGTTTGGAAGCCCAGAAAATAATTTTTGGAAGTCATTTTCCAAGCTTCTCGTGTTTGGCAACGTTGGAAAAATTAGAGTCAATAAAAAATAAGGATGAGTCAAAGGAAAATGACATGATTTTTCCGGAAAACAACTTCCCCTTTTTTTGGGAAGTCATTTTCCAGAGCAACTCCTTCTCCCTAACACCGTCTTCCAGAACCAACATGCTAGCCATCCCCTTCACCGTTCGCCATCGTCGCCATTCGTCATCGCCGTTCTCCGTTCGCTGTCGTCGCCGTTCGCCATCGCCGTTCTCCGTTCGCTGTCGTCGCCGTTCGCCATCGCCGTTCTCCGTTCGCTGTCGTCGTCGTTCGCCATCGCCGTTCTCCAATCGCCGCTGTCGCCAAGCCCAGTCGCCGACGTGAGGGCAGCATAACCTGCTCGACGCAGATCTCGATGAAGCGTCACATCTGTTCAACCGTTTATGGAGGCTCTGGTGGAGGATCGCCCACCTCCATGGATGTCTCAACAAGGTGGAAACGCCCACCTATTCAGATGCCGATGCCGGAAAATGAGTGAAAATAATTAGAGAAGAAAGTCGCATCTTTCGCCAGAGAGAATGAAGTGGGTGCGTGGGCCGGAAAATGAGTGAAAATAACCAGAGAGAATGAAGTGGGTGCGTGGGCCGGAAAATGAGTGAAAATAATTAGAGAAGAAAGTCGCATCTTTCGCCAGAGAGAATGAAGTGGGTGCGTGGGCCGGAAAATGAGTGAAAATAACCAGAGAGAATGAAGTGGGTGCAGGTCTAGAAAATTAATAATAATAATAATAATAATAATAATAATAATAATAATAATAAATATGGTATATTTAAAATTTAAAATAATTCTGCTCGTTTTCCGGAAAATGAACCAAACACACTAAGACAGTTTTCTAGAATGTAATCAAACACCGAAAAATGACATGTTTTTCAGAAAATGACTCATTTTTCAGAAAATATTTTCCAAAAGTCATTTTCCTGCTTTCCAAACGGACCCTAAAGTAGGCAGACTCTGATGAAAATTGCCACAAACGCTATGAAGGAATCAAGTGTACCTGATTTTCTTGCTGCGCTAGGTCATAGTCGCTTTTTGTGTTTTAAGTTATTATTATGAATTATGAATACTTTTTATCAATAATTCTCCTCAAGTAGTTAATATGATATATTAATTTGAAAGATGGTATTTTAGTCATTTACTCCTCTTTTCTTTATTCTTTAAAATACTTTCATGATTTTACCTATTATAATTTTTCAAATGAATTTTGACCGAAGTGGCCAAAATTGGTAAAAATTGAATAGTTAATATACAAAATTGATAGTTTTAAAAATCGTGAATTGAAATTAACAAGACCTCAATAGTTATAGGACTAAAAGTGAGATTAATTCATCAAAATAATATGAACCGTTCATTTCAACAAACAATTACACCAACACTTTTTAGTTCCCGTTAGGGCCTAACAGTATTGGCCCGATTTGTAGATGTAGATAATATAATTACATAAATTATATTACATATCAATTTTTTTAAAAGATAATTGCAGACAAACGAATTATATATTATTCAATTACTTGAGTCATACTTTTACACTAATCTTATAATCAAATAAATGTACACTTTCAAATATTAGAATTGTTTATAATTTCATCTTTAATTTTATTATCTAAATATCCAAATATATACTAAAATTTTTTTTATCTATGCATCGCACGGGTAATTTAGCAATTATTTGCTCGAATTCAAGCAAGGATAATACCAGAAAACATAATCGAACAAACCAATTTCATCAATTGCACTATATAATATTCGTTGATATAATTTATATAATTGTATATCGATCCAAATATTTTAAAATTATTATAACAAATCAATTCCGTGCAACGCACGTGTGAAAATACTAATGATAAATTTAGGGTCCGTTTGGAAAGTAGGAAAATGACTTCTGGAAAATGTTTTCTGAAAAATGACTCATTTTCCGGAAAACATTTTTCTTTCCAGTGTTTGGCTGCACAATAGAAAACTGTCTTTATGTGTTTGGTTCATTTTTTGAAAAATGAGTAGAAAAATGAACAAAATTGTATACTTCACCATTTTAATTGTTATAATGCCAATGCCAACATAAATTTAGCTTGTCCTATAATCTTCATCTATTTAAAAACCCAAACAATAATTTTTTAAAAAAAATTTTTAAAAAAAGTTTGATTTCCGGCAAGAAATCAATCGCCGGAAACCATATTGGTTTCCCACCAAACCAATTTGGGTTTCCTTGAAACAAATCTGGTTTCTTTCTTGAAAAACTAGAGATTCTGGTTTTTCAAGTCGGAAAATCAAACTGGTTTCTTTCGTGGAAAACTAGAGATTCTGGTTTTCCAAGTCGGAAAACCAAACTGGTTTCCGACTTGGAAAATCAGATCTGTGGGTTTTCAAGTCGGAAATCAATACGTTTCCGGTGGTCGAGAAGGAAGCGGCGCGACGAAGTTTTCCGGTGGTCGAGAAGGAAGTGGCGCGATGAAGGCCTCTATGGTCGTGCGAAGAAGAAGGACACGACGCCTTGTGGTTGTGCGAAGAAGGAGGAGGAACGCGGAAAATGACTTCCAACCCCCCCCCCCCCCCCCCCCCCCCCCCCCTTCCAAATAAAAAAAGGGGAAGTCATTTTTTGAAAAAAGTATATCAATTTTCCATTGACTAAACTTCATTTTTCTCCCTACCAAACACTAGAAACCCGAAAAATGATTTCCAGAAATCATTTTTCGAGTTTCCAAACACACTAGTAACAAATTAAATAAATAAGTTGGTTGCGCACAACATAAAATTTAAAAATTTTAATAACAAAATTAATAAATAAAAATATTCTAAAAATAAAATAAAATAATAAGATGGTCGTTGCTATTGCAGCGACCATTATTAGAAAAGAAAAAGTTAAATAAAACAAAGAATGACATTCGAGTGGTTATCAACTGGTGGTAAATCTAAAGTGCTCCAGCTAAACTAGGGTGAAGCGTGTGCTACAAAAACGTGTTATTTTCTTTTTTCCTTTATTCTTCTTCTTCTTCTTTTGCCAAAAAACCATTTATTATATGATAATTTTTTTTTTTTTGTGCGCTATGAAAAAAAAAAAAACAATAACAACCCTTGTTGACCTTGCTCTCAGTAAATTTATAAATATTCCACCACTCTTATAAGACATTATACTCAACGCTATGCAATCAGGACATGAAAATCTTAAAGATGTGTCTTTTTATGTAAAACTCAAGCTTCAATCCAACGTTGTGGTTTGATTGGTTTCTATTGTTTATCAAGGTCCTAAAACACGTTGGAACTTCACCCCTTCCACCTTGCTACGGTTAGTCTCGAGAAGTTCAAAGATAAAACCTATTTTTCCACTTATGAAGTGTTGGACTTAAACTCAACTAGTAGCGTCAACAATCATGACGGGTCTGGTAAGAATTACATTAATACGAAATTCAAGAAAAATGAATAAATATAAAAAAAAATATAAATATTTTTCTTTAAATGTTAATTTCTTTGTAGAAAATAAATTTTTGAATTTTAAAAAATTAGAAAAATGATTTTGAAATTTTTGAGAGAAAAAAAAAAAACTTATGAAACACAAAAATATTTAATTGGGTGAGGACTGAGCTGACGTTTTGCTACTTTCTCGTTTCCCTAAATCTTCTCCAATTCCCTCTCTCCACGTCTCTACGTATTTCCTTCCTTTTCACCCACCTACTGCGCACGCTATTTCAAGAACAACACAAGATCACTCCTTCTATGTTACTCCGCTGTCATCATCATCATCACTATTCACTCACGGTAAGTTTTACTCCTACTTCATGCCTTCATTCCCTGTATACTCAATGCATGTTCTTGTTTTTTTTTTTTTTTTTTGCTTAGATTTTTCTGTGTATGTGTTGAGATGATTTTATGGTGAATCTGATTCATATATATATATATATATATATATATATATATATATATATATATATATATATATATATATATAGATAACGAGTGAAACCTTAGCTATCCGAGAGTGTGCATGCCTTGTGCAATAAGCCCAGCCAGTTGGGAGTAGAATTTGTAGCCACTATTTAAGGGTGTCTTCATAGTTGATCGGTTCAAACCAAGAAAGCTAATAAGTCTCCCAAACTAGAGGCAAAGTTGAAATTTTGTGGTTATCAAAGTCAACAGGTTGAACAAATACCCAAATCTGTTTTTTTTTTTTTGTGGGTTGAGTTGGGTGTTTTTTTGTGTAAAGCACGAGGTGTTTCGGGTTTTTCTTTGTGGTCCGGGCCGAACCACCCGACTAATCCCCTCCCTCGCTCCAGAGATACTGGAGCTGGTCTAGGAAGAATCGTTACTTGTGGGAATTGAACTTGGGTTATCCCGAAATTCCTCCCACAAAGAGGGCTGAATCGAATCCGGGTTATCCCGAAATTTCTTCCCACAAAGAGAGTTTATTTGCCACTTGAGCTACTCATTGGGTTTCTGATTTGGGTGTTTTGTTTTGCTTCTTCTTTTACCTATGCAGGTGAAGAGGAATGGATGGTAGTAGGAGGATTTATACCAGGAACCAGTGGGATAAAAGATGGAATGAGGAAAAGAAGAGAAAATTAAGTCAAAGTTGCAAGAATGAGTCATCTGGATTTACTGGTAATGGAAGCAGTGAGCATGGTTCCACAAGTAGAATGGTGGGGAAAATTGTTGGGGAAAAAGCTGGGGGGAGTGGCAGTTCTGGTAATGGTGATAATTTCTCATTCATGGAGGGATTAAATAGGAACAAGAAAAAGAGGAGGATTGAATCAGAAAATGTGGTAAAGGAGGTGGAGAAGAACAAGAAGGTTAAGGTGAAAGAAAAAATTGTGATTGATGCCCATAATGTTAGTTCAGAAGACAAAGATGAAGATGAGGATGATAATGTTGGTTCAGAAGCCAAAGATGAAGATGAGGTTGATAATGTTAGTTCAGAAGACGAAGATGAAGATGAGGATGATCATGTTAGTTCAGAAGAAGAAGAAGATGAGGATGATAATGTTAGTTCAGAAGACAAAGATGAAACTGTTGGGGAAGAAGAAATTGTATCTGAAGCTAATAATGTTAGTTCAGAAGGCGAAGATGAAGATGAGGATGCTGCTGGGGATGAAGAATTTGCCCTTCAATCAATACTTTCAGAGAAGACTGACAACCGGGCGGAGGAGAGCAGCAAAAAGGTGGAGGCAAAGGCAGTTTTGGCAGATAATTTCAGTACTGATAGCGGTGAATCTCGTGGAAGTCCATTGAACGAGAAAAATTCTGACTATGATGATGACTATTTTGAATTCTTGGAGGAATATTTGGCTGTTCCACCATCCGGTAAAGAAAAGTCAAAACATGGGGTAGAGATGAACAATGAGGCTGTGGATGATATAAAATGCGGGAGTGATGCAAGTGAATCTTTTGCTCTTTCGTCAGATAGTACCGAGAATTTGGAAAAATGGGCAGAGAAGAAGAAGATGAATGAGAAGGGAAAGAGAAAGGCAAAATTGGAGATCATAGATGACGATGTTAGTCCAAAGGTTGAAGGTTTGGATAATGTTAATATAAAGGATGGTCCTGCATATCGGCTTAGGTCCCGTTCAGTCTCCAAATATGAAATGAAGGAAAAGGATCCCGCAAATGTTACAAACCCACTCCCTCCTCCTAAGGAGGATTGGGGATCCGAGACTTCATCTGATGACAAAAAAGATGATTGTTGTGTGCGAATTCATGTTAATAAAGACAAAAAGAACGTAGAGCGCCCAAGCAAAAGGAGGAAGGGAAAACATGGATTGGGAGAACTTAACTTTAAGAAAATACTTCTCAACTCTATATTGAAGGATGTGGATATCACCAAGAACAATCTGCAATTTTGCAACGAGAATATTCCCGGGCAGTTGCCTCTAAAGTTCCGGTTTGAGGATGAAGTTCCTACTCCGCCTGAGAAAATGGAATGGGAGATCGAAATTGACAGCCTCTTTGTGGATCTTCAAACAGGTCTACAGGAAGACAAGGATAGCTTAACAACCACTCAACCTTCGGTAGGTTCATATTATGATGCTTTAGCTTTTAAACTGATTTCACTTATCCCCCCCAATGTTTAGATTTCTAGTTTTCCATGCAAACTTTTTGTGGTTCGTGAATTTATCAGAGCTCCCACAATAACATGCTTCATACAAGCTAAAATCGTTCATGCATTATGTTCTTTATTGTTTAGGTGAATGAAGACAACATATCTGCAGAAAAACACGATGATTCAGCAGTCTGCTGCGAAAAGGGGAACCATTTTATTATTTTAGATGAACAGATCGGGCTAATCTGCAAGTATTGTTCCTTTGTGAGTCTGGAGATGAAGTACATCTTACCCGAATTTGTAAGTGCCCTCTTTTGCATCAGTATTTGTTAGAATTGTATGTATACATTGCTGGTCTGTTTTACTGAGTGTGTCGATATGGTCATATGGTTGATATAAAATCATGCAAAAATTATTGCTACTATTTGCAGGCTAAAAAAACCGGGAGGAGACAAGGGATGAGATTTTATGACGATTTGGATTGTCCCTTAAATGGCGATAACCTCCCATTGGATGGCGCTTCTGGAAATCATTGTAATTCAATACATGGCGGAACGACAGTATGGGACATTCTTCCTCCGGGGACTAAAGGAACAATGTATCCTCATCAACGCGAGGGGTTTGAGTTCTTATGGAGAAACATTGGCGGGGATATTCACATCGAGAATCTGAAAAAGCTGCAGTCTGATTGTGGGAAGGGATGCATAATCTCGCACGCGCCTGGTACTGGGAAAACCCGCCTCACGATAGTGTTTCTCCAGTCGTTCATGAAGCTCTTCCCCGATAGCCATCCAGTAATCATAGCCCCTCGAAGCATGCTTCTTACCTGGGAAGCTGAATTCCGAAAATGGGATGTGGATATTCCCTTCCACAACGTGAACAATCCAGCGTTGTCGGGTAGGGAAAACAGTATCTCGCATAATTTTCTGAATGAATTCAAAAACACAGAATCAAAGCGACTGCTGAAGGTGTATTCGTGGGCAGAAGGTTCGGGTATTCTGGGAATCACCTATCGCCTGTTCGAGCAGTGTGTCAGAGTGAAAGAAAATAAAGAAGATGACAAGTTGAGAAAAATTCTTCTTCAAGTTCCAGGTCTAGTAGTGCTTGATGAAGGGCACACTCCGAGAAACGATGAAAGTCTTATTTGGAAGGCCTTGTCAAAACTAGAAACGCCACGGAGAATTATCCTATCCGGAACGCCCTTCCAAAACAACTTTGATGAGCTATATAATACCCTCTGCCTTGTTTCTCCAAAATTTTCCGATTTTTCTTCTGGGAGTCCGCTAAAACATATGCGGAGAACGAAGGCAGCAAAGAAGAAATGGGATCGTCTTACTAGTTCTATTGGAAAGAACAAGAACGATGCCATAAAGGAACTCAAGAGAATCATTGCCCCGCTAGTCCATGTACACAACGGCTCTGTACTGCAAGAGCGTCTTCCTGGCGTAAGGAGCACTTTGGTCTACCTAAAGCCCACGAGTTGGCAAAAGAAGTTGTTCAGTGCAATACCACAGAAAAAACTCTTTGAGGAAGATCATGTCATGACTCGGATATCTGTTCACCCTTCACTGGCGAAAGATATTCCAGAATTTTCCGAATACAGGAGCGAGATGAAAAAACTCGAATTGAATCCCGATGCAGGAGTGAAGACCGAGTTCCTCTTTGCACTGATATGCTTAAGTGTGTCACATGGCGAAAAAGTTATAGTCTTTAGTCAGTATATTGCCCCGATGGAGCTTATTAAGAAGCAGCTAAAATCTGTGTTTGATTGGGTTGAAGGCCGGGAAGTGTTGCATATGGATGGTGAAATCGATGTGCATCATCGCCAAGCGTCTATTAATACGCTTAACGATCCCAAGAGTGAAGTGAAGGTGCTTCTCGCATCAACCAGGGCCTGTTGTGAAGGCATAAACCTGGTTGGGGCTTCGAGAGTTGTTTTGCTCGACGTCGTTTGGAATCCCTCGGTTAAGAGGCAAGCGATTAGTCGGGCATATAGGCTCGGTCAAAAGAAGATTGTGCATGTATATCACTTGATTTCTTCAACCATGGAGGCTAGGAAATTTGCTTGCCAGAGGAAAAAGGACTTCATATCTGAGTTGGTCTTTTCTACCTCGGATGGGCTTCCTTGCGAGAAAGGCCTCCCGGTTTCTGAAGACAAAATATTGGAAGCCATGGTTCAGCATCCTAAGCACCGCCATATATTTGATCGCCTATATCATGATCCGAAAGTGTCAGATTTAATCGACACATTTAACTTTGTGGAATGATTTAAGTGATGGCTCTCTGCAACCCAAACCAATAGTCTTAAAAGGTACGGGATTTCAATCTCTTTCAGCTTTTCTAGAATTTGAACAGATCTGAAAATGAAAATTTGCCCAATGCTTTGCTTGATTCATTTATACTTTTGCAGCAAATAAGGTGTTGATATATACATGCTAGTGAATGCTTTGATCTGAACAAACAGAATCTGAAAACCAATACTTTTCCACTATGATGTTTGTTTTTGGGGTGACTGAGGGAAACCCGCAACCACTACCCGAGAGTGTGCACGGGGTAAACCTCGCCTTATAGCCATAATCAACAACAGATCATAAGAAAGTAAACCAGTTTAGGTTGTACATAGCTGACCAGTTCAGACCATGAAGGCCAATAGGCCGTTCTTTCTTGGAGTCAAATTTGTAACCTTGTGATTACTAAGTCAACAACCTGACCAATTTGGCTGAGGTTGACTATGATGTTTGCAAACACAAAATGTTGTTTCATGACACGCTTACATCAAGATCCATCTGCATCCTCTTGTTTCTTAATCCTACCTTGTTCTTTCTTCATTTCAGGAATCATTTGTATATACATTACGTAGTGTGATCAGATCTGTTTTGGGATATAATGATCTGATGAACTCAAAGTCTGTTTTGGATGCCTCGTTAACTAGCAGTTAACAGCGCTGCTCATTGCAATCTCGCCTTCAAGAATCGAGCATTGGAGTGATTTTTGTGGTAATCCATTATGTCTGTATGCCTTCACAAAATGTTTTGTGTGGTTTTTTGGGACATTTTCCAGGCATGTAGGAGTCTTTGCTAACTTGCTGAATGTTTTTTTTTGGCTGTAAATCTGTTTGTATGCTGTAGCTGCCTTTAGCCAATAGCCACACCATCTGCTATTTTGGAAACTTTTTATCTTAAATCCATGTTAATTAGTTGATCCTTAACTCCTTTTACTTTTTGAACTTTTTTTCTTATTTATTTATTTATTTATTTATTTATTTTCTAAGTCATCTAATTAGAGACTCTCAATATCTCTTATCGAGGAGCTTAGTTTATACCCCGTGCATAATTTATCGAGAATTTTATTGCACTTAAAATTAACAATTGTAGAAGTTTGAGTAAGCATGAACATGTGTTCATCGCTTTGTTCTGCTCGTTGTGGGCATTTATCACCTAAACTTTTGCGAAGGTGATCATATGATGGAGATATTGAAAATGACCCGATAATGGAGACCTGGAGTCCAAGAACTTGCGACCCGAGGGCTAGCAGAGCGGGATGTTCAGAGGAGGATGCATGGGGTCTAGGTAGAGATCAAGGCCCCCAAGGTTGGCCTTCAACAGCCGGCCCCGGTCAGCTAGTCATTCTTGTCCCAGAACCCATCTCCTAGTCCAGAATGATGAGTCTTGACTTAGTCACACAACTTATCACGTCGAATCACCGATCTTGACTTGATCTCATGACCCGCCATAATTTTAAGAAGTTTTTGTGACTTTTCCTTATATAAATGGCCACCTAAACAAACCAAGTCGCATTTTGTTTAGAATACATGTAATACTCTAGCATTAATCTATGAAATATTACTAAAATAATTTCCCTTTACTAATTTACCCTCATAATTTATGCGGACTTAATTGATTACTACATAATCGCGGCGCCAATTAATTCCATCAACATAATTCTCATTTGCTTCAATCAAAAGTTTTGGCTTCACCCATTCATCATTTCATGCGCTTCAAGCAGTCCACCACTCTCTTGGTCTGTTTCAATCATAATCATCCTAAAACCTGTGTCAGCTGCAATCCTCAAGCCATGCAGTCATGCACAATGCCCCAATCCAAATAAACTTTAAATAATAGGAATAAGGGTCAAATAGATTATCGAACTACACACAATAATGCAATTAGACCATTGAACTAAAAAAAACTACAATTAAGTCCTTAAACTAACCTATTTCAAGCAATTTGTCCAATTTACAGGTTTTCCCCCTTTCTAACAGCTCACCCAATTTAAAATATATTTAAAAATTAATTAAAATAAACTATTTTTTTTTTAATAAAAAAACCTCGTCTCCGGCCGGAGACGAAGAGTTACGTCTCCATGGCTGGATACGAAGAGACTCTTCGTCTCAATTTGATGGGATGAGATTTGCAAAGGGCTTCAATTTAAGACATAAATAGCAAGGGATGAAGTTGCAAGTCCAAATAGGATGAGATTTCAATTGACAAATCAAGAAAGGAAGAGATTTCTCTTCGTCTCCGGCCGGAGACCGAGATTTTATTTTATTTTTTAAATAAATAATAAATAATTTTAATTTATTTTAATTAATTTTTAAATATATTTTAAATTGGATGAACTATTAGAAAGGGGGAAAACCTGTAAATGGGACAAATTGCTTGAAATAGGTTAGTTTAAAGACTCAATTGTAATTTTTTTTTTTGGGTTCAATGATCTATTTGGTCCTTATTCCTAAATAATATTTAGGGCATACAATTTATAACATTATAACAAGAAGTTGATTTAAAAAAAAAAAAAAAACAGTTTAACCAACAAATACTCCGTAGTAAAGAGTTAATTTCACTTTTGGTCCTATGACTATTAGAGTGTTGTCAATTTGAGTCCACAACTTTCAAAACTAACAATTTAGTACCCTAACTATTCAATTTTTATCAATTTTAGTCAGTTTGATGAAATTGTCGGCCAATTATTGCTGGAATCTTTTAATTCAGTGTTTAAATGGAAGCTAATTTGTGAACCATTGTTTCAATTAATACAGAGACAAGTGGGATGTGGATAAAATTTTGTCACAATTGGCCGACAATTGGCTGATAATTTGACCGTAATGACTAAAATTGATAAAATTTGAATAGTTAGGGTACTAAATTGTTAGTTTTGGAAGTTGTGAATTCAAATTGACAATACCTCTATAATCATATCACCAAAATTGAAATTAACTCCCGTAGTAAACTAGATAAAATGATACTCAATGATACTTTTTTCTTACTTTTTTTTTAAAAAAAAAATAAATAAATAAACAAATCTTTTTCTTTCATCCAAATCTATATAAGAAAATGATAAGTGTGTTATCCTGAACCCCATTACATTTCTTGATTTTATTTTTTGAATATATTTCATGAAGATATATGTAATATTACTTTCACTATTTTTTTTTTTTTTTTTTGAGTTTGATTGCATTTTTCAATTAGTCAATTAGGACTACACCTAGGACATTTAGTAGTAAGAAAAGTTCAATCTTTCTTGAAAATATAAGGTAGAAAAATTATTCTTGATGTAATTTTTGACTTAGGAAAGTTTAGGTCAACAATATACATTCCATTGGCCGAATACAATATTATATATACATGTTACTCCCCACTTTGATATATTGCTGCTCGTATAGGTAGTTCAGTTAGTCACAAAGATAAAGTTTGGGAACAATGATCTGGGGTCAGGTCTTACCAGTGGTAGTGTAGGAGTAACCTCTCAAAATGAGGGGTTAGCTCCTTGTACGCAAATGTATATCCTCCCAGATACTCTGTCGGGCCGGCGTATAGGATCATTAAGGTTAGGGATTCACAAGTAGTTGTTGTTGTTGTTGTTGTTGTTGTATAACATATATTAAATTAAGTCCGAAAACAAAACATTACACAGATAGGGAAGAGGGTTATGAAACCACTCCATACAATCAGACATAGAAGTGGACTGCTTAGCTACCAAGTGAGCTACCCGGTTCGTTGATCGTTTAGAGAACGATAAAAATACATGAGAAAAATTACTCAATAGATTTTTGATATTCTTGACTACAAGATGAAAAGAAGACTCCTCAGAATTCTGCTTGAGACTTTGCACCACCGTGAGAGAGTCGGTTTCAACTTGTACCCTGTCCAGATGTAACTCTTGTTAGATATAAATAATCTAACTATACAAAATAATAGTATACGAGAAATCTGACCTTGTATAAGCGGAAGCAATAGTTGTGTTGATCTCCAGTCACAGTTGATGTTCTTGTTGTGTTGCCTCTTGAATGGTAGACCGTTAGCCATATTTGTCCCATACTTGACTCAGAACCATAGATGTCGTATTGATGTCTATTGAGCAGTATGAGTATCATATCTTTATGTGCTATATGATGAATATCCTGAATCCCATCAATCCAGGTTTATATTAGGCATAGAGTCTGGTGGAATAACAACTTCTAGTTATTCAATCCAACCAGACCACTTAATAAGCCTAGTCAACTTGCACATGACCTTTGGTCTGGCTTTGATACCAAATTGAAGCATATGATCCATCACAACTAAAAGCCTAAGCTGATATTGCACATTAATGGTTATATGCTCAAGAAGCATAATGCTAACTATATTCAATGACTTCTTTATAAGTTAACATAAGCACTACCTCTAACAGCTAAGAGCTTGGAATTGACACGTCTGTCACTCACACTCATCAAAATAGCCAAAAGATAGTCAAGTCACAGAAGCATTCCAATAACTTAGACAATAAATCAAAGGTCTAAGTCCATAAATTTGGAATCTTAATCATACACCATAACTTCCCAAAAGATAGGCTCACAAAATTGTTTTGAGCCTTACAAACCAAAATGGCCCAGGATCAATTTTGAAGAAACTAAAGACTATTAATCACTGAAAAATGTATTAAATGACAGTGCACCACAAGTTAAATGTTTTTGTTCAAATAAAGGCCGTTTGACAACCTTTATTCTATGTGATGGGGATTTGCAAGAGGATGGTGTCAGCTGGGGGAAGGACAACTCTGGTATGTTCTCTGTCAATTCAGTATATAGGATGATTACCAATTCAGAGAATTTGCCAGCTTCGCCGGGTTGGAACAACTTATGGAGACTGAAGGTTCCGAGCCGAATACACACCTTCTTATGGCTGGCAAGACACAATAGGTTGATGACAAATGAAAACAGATGTAAACGAGGTTTGGCTAGTCTCAACGCATGCGAATTCTGCTCCAATGCTGTGGAATCCACTAAGCACATTCTTAGGGAATGTCCCAATTCAACGGAAGTTTGGAATGCGATTTTTCTAGGTATGCTCCCAGAAACTCAACATCTGGGATTTAATGACTGGTTAGACTCTGGAATTAGGGGATTCTACAACAATGCCCGGAAGCACAACCGAAGTACTACCTTCGCTGTGGTTGTTTGGTGGCTTTGGAGGTGGAGGAACGAGTGTGTTTTCAACAAAAGTAGGGCTGATTTGAGATTCAAGGTACATTGTCTACAAATACAAGTGTTGGAGATTAACTCTGCCTTCGCAAAGACAAGAGGACCGAATTCATTGGATATGTCTAGATCATGGCACCAGCTTAAGTGGACAAAGCCGCTCCCTGAGTGGATCAAAATCAACTTCGATGGTAGTTCCACCCTTCAGAACAACAAAGCAGGTTGCGGCGGAGTGGCTAGGGACTGTGATGGTAGATGGATTAAAGGTTATATGTACAACACCGGAATCTGTTCACTGGATGCAACGGAAGCATGGGCCTTTCTTAAAGCCATCCTGTTGGCCAAGCACATCAGGAAAACTATCTTTGAGAATGACTCCAAAGTCATTGTGGATGCCATCAACGAGAACAAGAAGTTGTACAGTGTTGTAGACAATATTCTTCATGCCTGCAGAAAGGAGTTGAGTGGTGTTGGGCAATGGTAGCTCGTGTGGATTGCGAGAGAGCAAAATATGGTTGCTGATGTTTTAGCAATAATGGCAATTATCCCACCCCGGACCATGTGTCATTGATGATCCTGCGAACTGCCTTGTCCGTGTTCTTGAGGATGACTTTGGGGGCGTTCCATCTTGGCATCAAATGTTTAACTAGTCTGTATGTATTGGGGTGTCTCTCTTCCCTATTGATCTAAAAAAAAAAAAAAAAAAAACATATATGTTTATAAGGTCTTGTGGTCTACTGGCACCAAGTTGCTCCCCTATGTAAGAGGTTATGATTTTAAGCCTCAGTGGACTACGATCCACGATATAAATTGATGGCATCCAAACTTTTATCTTTTAGTGTGGTTTGACCATGTGCATTATAGCCGAATAATCATAATATATAAATAAAAGTACTAAAAAATCAATACTATTCATTTCATTTCATGCATTTTATTCATATTTTAACTCAAATAATTTTTATTTTAATTTTGAAATAATATTTAGTTTAAAATTAGTGCATAAAATTTATAACAAGAAGTTGAAAGATTTTTTTTTTTTTTTTAAGTTCAACAAATAGTAAATTTGATAAAACGAGACAATGTTACTTTCTTTGTTTTCTTTTTTAATCTTTTACTTCCATCCAAATCTATATAAGAAAATGATAAATCCTTAACCCCGTTACATATCTTGAATTAATTAAAAAAAAAAAAAAGACAAAAAGAATATAAATTGTAATATTACTCTTCACTATTTTGTGAGTTTGATCGCATTTTTCAATTATTTAATTAAGAGCATTTAGTAACTAGAAAAGTTCAAACTTTCTTACAAATTTAAAATCTGAAAAAGTTATTTTCCATGTATTTTTTTGACTTAGAAAAATTTAGATCAATAATATGCATTCCATTGGCCGAATTTATTTTATACATTTTTTTATCATACCACGAAATGTCCTGAACAAGCCCTAATTGTATGAGACACTTTTAAGCCCGTATCACATTCAGATTAATTTCCGTTCAAATTGAAATTTTCATAAAAGAAGCGATTCAAACTCCTGACATCTCTTAAAAGAGGGGTGTGCACTACTACTCACCCAACCAAATTGGTTACACAAAGAATATTTTACTAGCCACTTTGATATCAACATGTATTGCTTAATGCCTAAGATTTCTCATTTGTCAAACTCTACCCTACAAAGTCCACACAAGTTAAGGTCTATGCTTAGCTTTTTACCTTTCCCAAACTCAACTCAGCTATATACTCACTTGGCTTAACACTATCAACTCATCGGCGATCACTCGTCGCCTCAAGATCGGATTTCAGACATAGTTGACTCGCCGGTTAACTCGGTCACACCTCCTGGCCTCCACAGGGATCGGACCTCTCTTCTGCTTCATCTTTTCCGGTAAATGAATTGAAGAAGATTCTACTTCACTTCACTTTGTATGTGTATGTTGATATAATATGTTTGTATACTGAGTTTTTGGGTGTCTAACTACTACTGAGTTTCAAAAAAAAAAAAAAAACTAATTCAAAGCTGAAACAAAAATGGAAATAATTAAATATGTATGCAACTTTCCTTATAGATCCTCTATTGCCTCTAATTCATCTCTTTCTGTAATATAGGTGCATAACATATTAACATACACCTTCAAGCTAAGAAGGCAAAAGCATAAAATGGCAGGTATATATATATGAAATACATTTACATTAACATGTTGATCGAGTCTGTACTCGGTATTTTAGCAGCTTTAGGATTCCAATCCTACCTTTACCAATACAGCCCGACTAAGATGAATTCTGGAATCTCTATAAATACGTCCCACTTGGTGACTCTACCTTTACCAATTCAGTTCTAACTAGGAAGAATTATGAAATATTTGTCCTTTCTGTACTTTGTGAGTTGTGACTCTACCTTTACCAATCCCGCCCTAACTAGGACGCATTCTGAAATCTCTATAAATACGATCCTTACTTGACTCTACCTTTACCAATCCAGCCTTTAACTAGGACGAATTTTGAAATCTCTATAAATACATCCTTATTGTACTTTGTGACTCTACCTTTACCAATCCAGCCCTAACTAGGATGAATTCTGTAATCTCTATAAATATGTCCCTTAATGTACTTTGTGACTCTACCTTTACCAATCCAGCCCTAACTAGGACGAATTCTGAAATTTCTATAAATATGTTCCTTACTGTGCTTTGTGACTCTACCTTTACCGATCCAGCCTTAACACTAGGACAAATTCCGGAATCTCTATAAATATGTCCTTTACTATACTTTGTGACTCTATCTTTACCAATCCAGCCCTAAGTAGGACGAATTCTGGAATCAGTTACTTTGTGGACATGATTGATTAATAATAAAAAACTTTGTAAATTATGGTCATGTTTGGTAAATGGTTGTTAGTTGATAGCGGATAGTTGTTAGCTGTTTGAGTTAATTAGAAGGTATAACTAGTTGATAATATTAGTTGATTGTAGAAATGTGATAACGTTAGCTGATTGTAGAAAGGTTTTTTGATAAATTAATTGTTAGCTGATAGCTGTTTGGTATAATTTCTTTTCTCAAAAAGTTGATTGAAAAAGTTGTTTTAAACTGTTTTTTGAATTTTAGCATTTTGAAGTTACAAAAGGCTAATTAACCAAACATTTATATTGATTTTTTAACAAGTCAAACAGCTAATAGTGGTTAAATAAGTCAAAATTGGGTGATAAGCTAACTATTTTACCAAACAGGGCCTAAATCTGTTCTATGCACAACATCATCACCAATTGTTTTTTTATTAATACAAGAGTTAATAAAGTAACTTTGTCTTGTTTATTCAATATAGCTAATGTTGAGCAGCAACTTGCTACAATGTTATTTTGGGGAGGTGAAATAACAAAGAATGGAGATATGGGGTGTGTGGATTATTCAGAACCACCAAAAACTATGTGTTTCTTGAGCCATAGCAGCAGCTATGATGAGCTCGAGACAAAAGTGCACACGGCTATGGACACCAATGCAGACAGAACCAGACTCGTTTTGTTTGGTAGGCACCCAATGATCATTCCTGGGGGGCAAACTGTGTTCGTTCCTATTCCCCTAACCAACGATGAATCATGGAAATGGTTTCTGCAAATGGCATCAGTGTCACAGCCTATACATGTGTATGCCACTGCTAAAAGGAGAACAGATGGGCAGGAAGTGCAACTTCTCAGTTGTGGGACTTATCCTAGGGATTATGGTAATGAGTATAGTTCAGAATGGCTTTCTGGTTTATGTTCACAGATATTCAACAAAGCTGTGATGGTTGAATATATTCTACTGATTGCATTATGCATATATAATATATATTTTATGTTATGTTATATATACATGTTACTCCCCACATTGATATCAGCATACATGTATTGCTTAATGCCTAAGATTTATCATTTGTCAAACTCCACTGTACAAAGTCCACACAAATTATTAAGTTGTATGCTTTTTACCTTTCCCAAACTCTACTTTGCTATATATAATATACTCACTTGGCTTACCACTATCAACTCATCGGCGATCACTCGTCGCCTCAAGATCGGATTTCATACAGAGTTGACTCGCCGGTTAACTCGGTCACACCTCATGGCCTCCACCGGATCGGACCTCTCTTCAGCTTCATCTTTTCTGGTAAATGAATTGTAATACATTTACATTACCATGAGTATTTTATCAGCTTTAGGATTTCTCTTTCTTTTCATAACATACCACAACCTCCTATATGAGAGAGCAACTTGGTGCCACTAGACCACAAGGTTCTTGCCTTCTTGGCACATTACATCCCTTTTATTTAGACATAAAAATACTTTATGGATTCCCAAAAACTTACTCATAACTTTTTGTTAAGGATATATGAGGCTCACATTTGTTATCTATGTTTTGTTATATTTTAGCTCCTGTTGAATAGGTGTGTGATAGGTTAGTTATTGTAACTTCCTACTATCTTTCCTCCTCTGTACACTATTTATAGCTGCCTGAGTTTGCAGTGGTTAATTCATTCAGTTCTATAAACTCTATACTTTTACTCCCACTTGTGTTCAAATTTGATTGGAGGAAGTAAAAAATGAATGGATCATGACCCCCTATTAAATTGAGCAACCAAAGCATGCCAAATCATTGGGAGTACATATAGAATTACTCATTTAGAAATATGATATTTAATAAATCTGGATTCATTATTTGTATGCATAAGTAAATGTGTTTTGATGCATGGTGTACATAGTTGTGTAGACCATGATCCACAATAAAATTTACCTTAATTTTGTGTTTTGGACTCAGTGGCCAGCATATAATATATAAAACATAGATGTATGCATTTAGTTGAGACTGAGACTGATTGAACGTCCTTTAATTTGAATTGGTATGTTATGAACTAGACCAGTTTATGAATTCGCCTGGTTTTTAGTTAAGATGGAGCACTGCTCGGCCTTCCATTAGAAGTTCCATAATTTTAAATTTGATTTGGTTTGGAAGATGCCCTACTAAATACTAAATACTAAATGATCTCCTTCTGTAATATAAGGTGCACAACATACTTGAAGCTAGAGGAAAGCAAAAGCATAAAATGGCAGGTATGAAATACATTTACACTAAAATGTTGTCATACTAAATACTAAATGATGACCAATTGTTTTTTGGTTTTATTCAAGAGTTTATATAGTAACCGTACCATGTCTTGTTTGTTCAATACAGATAATAATGTTGAGCTACTGTTATTTTGGGGAGGTGAAATAACAAAGAATGGAGATATGGGGTCTGTGGATTTTTCAAAACCACCAAAGGCTATGTGTTTCTTGAGCCGTAGCAGCAGCAGCTATGATGGGCTCGTGAGAATAGTGCACGCGGTCATGAATACCTATGCAAACAATACCAGACTCGTTTTGTTTGGTAGGTGCCCGATGATTAGTCCTGGGGGGCAAACCGTGCTCGTTCCTGTTCCACTAATCGATGACCAGTCATGGAAATGGTTTCTGCAAGTGACATCACGGTCACAGTCTATACATGTGTATGCCATAGCTGAAAGGAGAACAGATGATGGGCAATCGTGCGGTCAGGAAGCACCACTTCTCAGGGGGAAGACTTATCCTTGGGATAGTAATGGTGAAAGGGTTGTCACTTTTGTCGGTTTTTGTTCACAGATGTTCAACAAAGCTGTGATGGAGCCTGAGTTTTCTGAGATGTTTGCAGATATTTTTTATCGCCTTAGCAGCATGCTGCCCGAGTTTTATGTGAATAATGAGACATATTCCTTTAAAAGGTTACTTCTTAATCAGTGCCAGGAGGAATTTGAGAAGGGTAAAGCAGATAGAGAGTTTGCATCTGATCAGGAAAAGGTGATACATATGAGGAGGAGGAAGTGGGGAAACATTAAACTAATCGGGGAATTGTACAAGAAAAAGATGCTAACAGAAAGAATCATTCATGAGTGCATCAAAAAATTACTCGGGGGGCAGTATGAGTATGAGAATCCAGACGAGGAAGATGTTGAAACGCTTTGCCACCTGATGCAGACAGTTGGTGAGACCATAGACCACCCCAAAGCCAAGGAGCATATGGATTTGTATTTCGAGACGATATCAAAGTTGATAAATCACCCAACTTTGTCTTCTAGACTGAAGGAAATGTTGGTTCACTTGGTTGATTTGAGGGAAAATAAGTGGCAGAAGATGGGGAAAGTTGAAGGCTCCAAAATGTTCGAGGATTTTCACCCGACGTCCTAATGCATACCCTCTAGTATAGGGTGCCTTGGCTCGTGTCCTGCCACGAACATTGGGGGTTTATGCTATATATATTTTGTCATCATGCATATATCACCTCTGTTATCTGCAATATAATTCTGCATCAACTCCCTAAGCCTAATTAAATGTCTGCATTTTCTTCATTGTCTATATGCCATCACAAAATTCATGGAGGTGGTGACACTCTGACAAATGTCTATAATTAGATATGGTTTCTGTTGGACGTCCGGTCGGGTTGACCGAGTTTAGCCTCTGCTCGATTTGAGACATGACGTTGTGACTTACTATGGAATGATATGATTAAATGGTTAATGTTCACCTACTTATCACCAATTGATTTTAAATAGAATATGATAATACAGGATTGGTGATCCTCAGATCCACCATTTTCCTTGCCAGATAGGACTGGCTATCAATGTATTACAACACTATGTTTTGGTTTTGTGAATGTGTAACCATTTGAGTATTTATATGAACTTCTATAATATCAATCATATTTAATACAATCCTATATGTACATACATGACTGTACTAGAAACTATTGACAATAGTTTCCAATAAGGGTGTACAAAAAAATTGAACTGACCAGAAACTACTATTGATAATAGTTCTCAATAGGGGTGTGCAAAGAAATTGGACTTACCAAATACTAGTTAATTTTAACGGACTATTGGATTGCACTGCATTTGTTGACCATATAATGTATAAAGTTCATTTACATTGCTCTAAGTTATGCATTAATTTTAATGGACTATAAATACTAAGATATTATTTATTTGCTTTAACAATTTAGTCCGTTAGCATTAGTCAAATAAATAAAATAAATTTAGCCCTTTCACAAGAAAATTTCAATTATATTTAAGCAACCAACGACAGTCAATTTCGGTTATATCAGCTATGAGTTGCTCCATCAATTACAGTAAGTTATGAAGCTCGAGGTGAAAACTTCAGTTATTTTAGTTACAAAAAATCGACGAAAACCAACTGATGCTTACCCCTAGTTTCCAATAGTACTCGGTACAATCATATATCAACATTGTAAAAGTTTCTTGTATTGGTTGTAAGGCCAAAGTTCTGCTTCCCCACAATGTAATGCAACATAGCGTATATAATAATATCTGAGTGTTAGAACAACCCATATTCATTTCATTACAACAAGCCATACAAGTTAATAATATACAAACCTTCCCTATGTTATACATACTATTGAAACCCTAAACTTTGCCATTTCCCTATGGCAAAAACATGAAAATACACTAAATTACTTACATCTTCTTCAGCTGTTGTTGCTCAACAGCTCGAAGTCCTACGCTAAAGCTCAAGCACTTGAGTGCTTTTTCTCTGCTCAAAGAGCCCGAGCCACGGTATATACATATATTTTAGTAGTGCCCCGTAAATGGGAAGAGGAATCTAAGCTTGCTCCTCGATCAGCAAATGCTTGATGTGGTTCCAAGCAGATACCTCGTATTCACTTTCTAATAGGTAGAACCAAGAAATTACCTCAGAAATGACGATCAAAGGAAATTATGTGAAAAACGTTGTGTCGTTCACTCGTTCAGCCAGCTTTGTAGGTTCAGACGATGGGTACTGGCACGTTGAAATGGTTATTGTCGTGATGCATCTGGTTTTGGACTGCCTTCACAGCTGTTACTCTGGCCGCTGTTGCCGCTTTATTAGCGGTCGCCACCGCCCTTTTTACCCGCTCGTCTACCTTAACCACGTCGTTAGCTTTCTCAGCAGCTCGAATCGCTTCCTAAGAGAAAGAAATGCAGTTCACAAACTTCAAATTAAGAAAACATCAGAGGCACAGGAACCCTATAAAAATCATATCTTTCTTGGTTTTTTGGTCAAGAAAAAGTGCACGATAAAAATATCAATCTATAACAATTGCACTAGTTCACTGAAGGTTCAATTACCTGAACGGCATTCAACACTTTGGAATGATCATCTGTCGCAGAAGATCCAGTACGGGTCCCAGGAGCACTCGAAACATTAAGAATCCCGTTTTGCCAGTGACCAGACTGACTTTCCCCGTTTCTGAAAGTATATGTGCCAAAACCTTGCCTTCGTCCCTCGTGCCAGGCTCCCTCGTACCGATGTCCATTTCCAAACCTGTAGACCCCAAAACCGTGCATCTTGTCTGCAAAATATTCTCCGGCATATGTATCTCCGTTCCTGAACAACATAGAATGCTAAAAGCTGAGATATCAGAATTCTTTATTAAAAAAAACATGTACTATAGAAGACGATGGTTTATGGTGAGATCACACCAAAATATACGAGACGTAAATTAAGAAAAGCAAAATTTTAAAGCTTTTCCAATCGACAATTAGGAATAGACAATGCATATTTACAGTGGGGAAGACACTAGATTAGAACTTTAACACCTTTAATGTTAAACCTAAATTCCACATTTGAACTTGAGATCTCCAGATCTGAACTACATTTCGCTAGATCTAAACTAGAAATTGATATGGGGCCATGGTTATGAGAAAGTTGGGCGAGGAAGAGGTAGCATCATGGCAAAGAAAGAGAAAGTGGCGATGGTGCATGGCAATGGCAGAGAAATGAAGAGGTTGAGAATGCCGGCTAGGGAAATTGGAAAATTTTTTTCTCCCATTTACGAATTACGATTCCTTGTCATAAAACCCTTGTATTAGTCGGTAATGGAAAGAATCACTCCAAGGGAATTTGGATCCGATTCCTTCACCTTAAGAAGAGAAAACAAACATCTCTATTAATCCCATTCTCCCGGGAATAGGTCCATTAGGTTAATAGTTTATTCCTGTATAAATAGTAGATATTTGTACAGTTCTTTACAGAGAATACAATGAATCCTTTTATTCTTCCACATCATCGAACACCCTCCTTCAAAAGTAGTGAAACAAATGCCCACCAAGAGTTTAAAATAGCAAATTGTCATAATCTCCTTGAAAAATCATATTAGGAAGCGAGAATTTAAGCTAGCACCTAAGGTTAAGTAACAAAAAATTAACGTGAGGTTCCCATTTGCACGTCATCTTACATAAAAAAACATGTTTGGCCTTAATTTGGAGCAACAACGGGCTTCCTACTAAGTTGCCCAAATTATGTAAATAATTGACAATTACGAAGTACACACTATCTTTATCACCTAATGAAGACAGTGATTTATTCCTCATAGGCCTTTCTAGCTTTCAATTGTTAGCTATAGACAACTAGTATGCAGCAAACCGAAGAACCTCTCAGCAAGACAACCAAATTTGAGGAAGACTAATAAAGCATGTTTTGGCATTGTGCTAAAAATTATAATATTGGAGCTCGTTATGCAATACTACTCCATGGTTAAAAAGCAACCTAGCATTTTAAAAGATTGTTCTAGATATAAGCAGGCAATGCATATATAGCACACCGGGACATAATCAATTCGACACTGAAATAAACTCGAAAGGTGAAATTCCATAAAATTAAACAAACCATAAGCCCCCACGGGTTACCTGAACTGGTAACAGCCAAGACCATGCTTGACACCCCACTTGAATTCCCCGACATAACTGCTTCCATCCTCGCAAGTATGAACTCCACATCCTTGGCACTGCCCGTTAAGCCACTCCCCAGCATACACATCCCCTGTGTAAGACCTATACAACCCAACTCCATGTCTCAAACCCTGTCTGTATTGCCCCCGATATCGACTCCCTTTCGCCCATGTTTCAACACCATACCCATCATACTTCCCATCCACCCAATCCCCTTCATACCTGCCAGTCAAATGATAGTAATAAACCCCACTCCCAGAACACTTCCCCTTGTGGAATTCACCCTCATACACATCCCCATTGCTATACACCTGCACCCAACAACCCGAACTCGGCTTCTTTTCGAATCTAGGCTTTGACCCTATTGACCAAACAACTGGATGATGAGGCTGTGATGCAGTGGGCAATGAACAGAGCCTAATTCTTGCCAAAAACAGGCGGATTGAAGGGAGAAAAGGGACAGCTAGGCTGAATGCAATCACAACAAGAAAAATAGACACAACACAAACAAAGTAAATAACAAAAGAGCGAAAATAAGTTGTGGTGAGCAGATAAAAAGTAGGCAAAGATAGCAGTATAAAAAGCTTCATATGGACTCTAAGCCATGAGGCTTGGCAAGAGTGATGGAGAAGCCTGAGGGTGATTCTCTTGGTAGCTAAAAGCACTGGGAGTGAGCAAGAACAAAGGAAAGATGGGGGGTTGTTGGAAGGTGGCCCAGACTTCAAGACCGCCGTGGGTCTGAAAGGGCTATGGTGTTGGTGGTGGTGGTGGAGAGAGGAGAGTGTTGGAGAGTGAGAAAGACTCAAGCTTTGAGCCATTACAGGCCTTTTGTGAGGCGTGGAGACAAGGGTTTGAGTGGGAGATTGAATTGGGGGACAAAAAGGCTCATTCTTGAAGTGAATTTGATGATGATGATGGGTTCCAGAATCTGAACAAGATGGAATCTCGATTTCAAGATCGGGTCTGGGACGAGTTAACCCAGTTGTGTCAAGAATCTGGGACGATATTGATGGTGGCCGTGGGTGGCGAGGGGTGATGGCTGGTGAAATGTCAGGAATGCCCTTCGTGATCACAACTTCAACTTTCTTCTGAATCATTTACAAAGAAAAACAATGGAACCCTCTCCCCTCACAGAAATACAGAATTGCCAATCCGAAAATCAAATCTTCAAATTCGATTTTTTTCTTCTTCTTCCTCTTTATATCAAAATTTGTTTTTTTTTTTTTTTTTTTGGGTTTGAAATTTTCTATGGGCTTCTGAAGGTGGGGCAGTTTTCAGAGTAGATGTTGATGACGTTCCATGGCGACTGGTTTCTCTTTTCTTCTCCTCTGGTCTTCTCTCTCTCCTCTTTCTCTCTCTCTCTCTCTCTCTCTCTCTCTCTCTCTCTCTCTCTCTCTCTCTCTCTCAGGGACAGAAAACCATGGCGGGGGTTAGGGCAACTGAATTTAAGATTGAAATTGGATCATTTTTCTTTACAGACCCCACCAATGGCTATAATTACAAACAGGTCCTCCAAGTTCCATTATTCTTTACTCCCTACCCCTTCATATTTGAGTTTCTATGGTTCGAACTTTTCACGGACAGCATTTTGAAACACCTTTTTAAAGTGCTTATTCACTATGTTT